TCCTCCAAACATCTACACCTGCCGTAAAAGTTACACGTGAAGCTAAAGCTGAGCGTAGTGTGGTTTTTCCTTTCAAGTTTTCATCTGCCTGGAGTTACAAAGGAAGGCTCCAAGCTGGTAGGAAGAAGCAGAGCCAAGCGTTGTGCAGGCAGGCAGCGCGCAAGCTTTGGGAACGTCGTTCTGCCAAGGCACCTGCAGCCCCTGGTGTTCCAGCACTGGACACTGCCCGGGACCGCGCTGCCAGCGGCCGGGGCTCTGCCAGCCTCGGCGGGCTTGTGATGTGGACAGATGTCTGCTAGGAGGTCACCAGGCTCATTTAACTGGTGGCTGAAGACTGATGGAAGAGTCCAGGTACCCAGAGAGGAGAGGATATGATGTTTACTCACTAAAAAGAAAAAGCCCGAGCCCTAGCCCAGAAACACATTTTCCCTAACCTAAGGATAGGACAGGGAAAAGGAAAGCAAGGTAATCCTTAAAAACTGAAGGGATTCTCTTGGTTTCACAGATTATCGCCTTGAATACTCACGGCACATCCTAGCAGCTGCATTTTCAAAACCTGAGACTCCTACCGTCTCAGCCGTGCCAATTTTGAGGTATTCACATTAATGTAGAAATAGGGGAGGGGAAAGCAGAATGTCATTAACGTGAGCCAATACAAACAGGACTCTTCTATTTATTTTTTTAAACTTGCAAAATTATTTCTGGTCATTTACAAGCACAGAAATAACAATACGGATGATCGTTACCTTTCAGCAAGAGAGAGGTTGATCGACACATCACACAAAATTTAGGCAAGGAAAACTTCTGCTCTCTCAGCTGGACTGTATTTCTTGCCGTGCCTGGCTTGTAAGTTCAGCCCCTCAGGAAGAGTTCTGTCTCTCCAACAACGGCACCAAAAAGTTTATAAAGAACAAAGTATTTACAATACCTTTTACCTTTCAAAGACCTGCTACCACCCTACTGTCCTACAGCTCCCCAGAGAGAAACGTCTGAGCAAGTCCCACACATTCAAGTTCAGTCACCAGTAAGAGCTGCCCTTCTACTGGTATGAAAACAAGAGTTTATAAAGATCAATTTATTGAATATTAGACTATTTACAAGGGTCACAGTAGTTAAAAAAAAATATGAAAAGAACCTTTTTTAAATGAGAAAAACCTAGATACAAAATTGAAGTCTTTGGAACTCCATGAGAAATGGAGACGTTACAACACCAGAAAAGAAAATGCAAGCTTGCTAGTTCCCAAAGAGAAGAATTTTGGTTAAAATAAGGTGCAAGAAAGATGTAACAGCTTATACAAAACAGCTGTGACCTAAAAACGTCATACAAGAGAGACTGTAGAGTACGAAATTCAATTTAAAAGATTATTTTAAAATCTGTAATTTAATTTTTTTTTCAGTTAATATTAGTTTATAACATCCATTTCAAGCGTTTAATTCTACCGGATACACTCACATTAGCACGCAGTTGAAGAACTCTGTGGAAACACTAAATACAGGAGCAAAACTGGGCAGTATTTCCATCGCTGATGAGAAGAGACAGGTGATGTTGAACACCCTTCATCCAGTACAAGCCAATCACCATCTCGAAACAGATGAAAGAGCGACAGCAGAACAACCAACTCCCCAGACCCCAGACATCCGATCTCAACCCATCCAGCCTTCTGTTTCTAAGTTGGAGGCTCTAAAATCAGGACTGTCCTCCCTTCACTCCTCTCTTCCCCATCTACCTGTTTGGAAACAAGGTTCAAGTTTGTGCACAAAGCAACGAAAACCGCAGACATACTCTGAACTGCGCCTTATAACGCACGTAACGTAAAAAGAGTTCTTCAGCTGCATGAGTTTAAAATAAAATTCTCTTCTATGCTATACGAAGTTTCTTTGGTGGAAAAAGAAAGGCCAGGTTGGACGGGGCTCTGAGCAACCTGATCTAGTTGAAGACGTTCATGGCAGTGGGGCTGGAACTAGATGACCTTCAAAGGTCCCTTCCAACTCAAACCATTCTATGATGTTATGATAAAAGAAAACCCCAAATCCTCCCATGTTGAGTATCTTCTATCGCTGTTGAATAAGTTAAAAAATTTCAACTAAATTTTAAATACAGGAGAAAGTTGGGTTTGGGTTTTTTCTACCCCAAGAGAATAAAGCATCTATAAATTTCACAGGAATAATCCACAAGCAGAAGAGAGCTCACCTGAAGCTACAGTAGGAGACCAGACTTACTTGACAGCAGACGGTCCATTCAGGGAAGCTTATAAATATACCAACTGTGAGAAAAGCTTCAGTCAGCTCCCACAATCAGCGAGATAATTGCATCAGAAACCAGATGACGTTAATCCTGACAGTTACAGTGCCACCTGTTTAAGAGGTTTATATCCTGACATGAAGAGGGCCAGAGCCAGCTCTAGTTTAAATCTGTGGGTTTAGTTTTACACACAATGCTCAAACCCCAAATTCAAACGTGTGAATGCCAAGATTTTGTAATGCTGCTGCTGTGTCGAGATCACGGGTCTCCAAACCGCATGACACAGGGTAATATGTTATTCGCTAGACACCATCCTTCAAGGCACGTCCACTGGATGTCCCGGGCACCGCTTTAGGTTGAAGGGGAAAGCCAGGGTTAGGGTTTTCCCTGCGGTTCATTACCTGGTCTATGTTATTACCCGTGTACGAGCCTAGATGGGAACACAGATCTCAGCATTTCAAGAATTTGGATTTTTTTTTTAAAAAAAAAACATTCCATATTGAGTTAATACAGCTGAAATAAACCTTACCAAAGAAACTTCTCTTAGCTTCACGTAAAACAAAGAGCTCCAGGAGCACTAAACAGACTAAGTTTCAAGAAACAGTATCATACTTGGGTTGTCTGATGCTTAATGAAGTGAAAGTTGAACTTCTCACAGGTTAAGTATTTATACTCTCCCCTCCCTCCTGCACGGATGTCTGTCATCTACAGCAGGCAAGTCTATGCCACAGATTTGATGTTTTTCTCCTTTCCAATATAAAAGTTCCTACAAAATTTATGCCTCAGATCTCCACTCTGCTGTCAAATTTGGTTAAAATTAGGCAATGATTAAAAAAAGAGAGAGAAAAAGATGGTTTCCCTAACTCTATTTTCATCAGAAAGCAGGTTACTTAGTCAGTGGCATTAGGATTGTGAGCTTACACTAAGGAAAACAAAAAATAAAAATATATCTCTCAGGCAAAACAAAGAAAACCCCAAAGTGAGAAGAAACACAGCTTTCCCACTACAGCGACACAGCCAGCCGTGAGCAGGGCTGGAATTCTTCCTCGTTACGTTTCTGAGATCGAAAGCTCTCCTAAAGACAGATTGTCAACTTGTGACCAGTGTAATCAGCCAATGCGAAGTCCCTTCACGTCTGCGCGAGGCGAATAATTATCATAATAGACATTAGTAATTAATTTCCGGCGTGATGTCAGCTGGTGCGGCAATGCCAAGCAAGCGTCCTTGTCAAACACACCCCAGCCGTCTGGACGACTTCAGTCCCATCTCCCTGATTAGGATGCGCGCTGATGCACTGCTTAATACGATCTGCCATCAAATGCCAAATAGTTCAGAACTAAATTAGGAAATATGTCCGGCTTTACAGAGTGATGCTCGGGGGCCTAAGTAGATTTCTCTGTTCCTTTACGAGGCACAAAGGCGATCACCGATGTAATGCCCCCGAATGAGGCAATCTTACCTTCTAACCTCCCACCTCTGTAGGGAAAAGAAATGGATTAAAACAGCAAAGGAATTAATAAAGACAGCACGGCCTCGCAGCATCTTTCAACCCTAGAGGTATTTATGGTGGCCTCAGCATTTCCCCGGTGAACGTGAATTTTAAGGGGAAATTAGATGCAGCTGGACACATTTATTCCTAACACAGAGGTAGTCCTAAACAAAGCTTTCCTGTTCTAGTCGCTTGCCAAAGAAAACGCTGCATTTTTACACTGCAGACCACAGCTCCTTTCATCTGGGTGCTCACCTCCTGCTTCTTTCTCCACCTGCCTGAAGCATTCTCCTTCCCACTTTGCTGATAGCCCATCACATGCCTGAAGTATAACCACAAAAAATGGAATGAAATTCGTGAGTTTAAGTTAGGGAAGGTGCAGGAAAGGGACAGAAACTCTTCTCAAAGCATGTGGAAACAGGTCTTTCCGCAGCTTGGTCCCTGCCCTGGAGTAAGTGGGGATGTGATCTGTGAGCAGGCTACCTGGGATCTCTGGTGGGATTCTAAGCCCCTCCAAAATACAATTATTTATGCTACCTATTTAGGTTTGCAAGCCCAAAATAGCCCCTCCTGCAAGCAGAGGAGTTTGAGAACAGCTACATTAGAACCATGCCTCAGCCACAAGTCTTCAGCAGGGTTACAAGAGCAGTCCGGTTTGGATCTACTCTGCCACTGCTAAAAGCAGCAGAATGTGTCACTCAGGGGCTTGAAACCTACGATTATCATTCAGCTTCCTTTAATACAATAGTCACACCACCCTCACCAAATTGTAAGGAACTTCAAATACTCAAGTGCACAAAAAATAGAAGCATCCTCCTAAGGCTGCACATCTGCATGTACAAAACTTAACACGCTGCTCAGGATGTCCTCATCAGAAAGGTTAAGGGACGCTTCAGCTTTTTGGGAAAGGGGTTGTCTACTGGGCTTTAGGGTTGTTCTGTTGTGGGGTTGTTTGGGTTTTTTTTTTGAGACGAGTTCCCCCTAGAGGACCACGGACGCAGCATCCAGCTGAATGTGCTGGGACTCGCTGAGGAGCGGAGAACACAAAGTATTTATAGTGAACCCAGTTAGCTGAACAGTAATCCCTGACTTCAGCCCACTAGAACAACACTAATACAAGCATCAGATTATTGCCTTGAAAGAGCGTCTTTCCTCTGCTGTCAAAAGCTGACTAGCAGGGAAGGAAATGGCCAGCAGCATGAGATCTGATTTCCTTTGTTAATTATGAAGGTGTAAAAATCTTACCAAAACCAAAAAAAAATTAAATACCTGGTTGGGCTCATTCAATAACCAGCCAAAGGTTTTGACCCCAAAGGCTGCTTCATGAGCTGACACATCGAGACACGTGACGGGCTGACCATAGACAGAATGGAGAATTTTGCCGGGATCTTCTGCTTTCAGGAGATAGACAATGTCTTCTGCAGCTGCTACTGTCACTGGACTCCCCGTAACATCTGGAACCAGATTAAGGAAGTTGACCTAAAAGAAGCAGACTTTTTACTCTTATTACAGCCAAAAACTCTTTTACATCACTACAGCCACACGCTAAACTGAGCAAACTACTGATGTGTGGTTATCGGCTATCTTGAGTCATCCCAGTTATGGATTCATTTCAGACAAAGACCAAGTATCCATCTTATTTCTGAGCTTTTGCAAGTTTAGCTCCTATGATGAAATCTAGCTCACAGTCTTTAGAATGAGCCCAGTTAAACTAATCAGAACCCATTATAACAGAACACACCAAAATGTGATGTTGAAGAAAGGAGCAAGACTTAATGCACTCATTCAGATGAAGAACACAAAACAAAAATCGTGGCTAGAACGTGAACATGGTGCTCCAGAAGAGGCAACACATTCATGCAACTAACATGGAGTAGTTGCTGCTGCAATCATGCATATATACCCTAAATCAACAGAAAAGTCATCACATGACTCAAGGACAGCCCAAGTATCACCTCCCCTACCTTCTGTCACAAGACCAGAATGACATTGCTTTTCCCATTTCATAGAATCATAAGAGACTCATAGAATGGTTTGGGTTGGAAAGGACCTTAAAGATCACCTCGTTCCCCCCCCCTGCCCCGGGCAGGGCCACCTCCCACCAGCCCAGGTTGCTCCAAGCCCCGTCCAACCTGGCCTTGAACACCTCCAGGGATGGGGCAGCCACAGCTTCTCGGGGCAACCTGCCCCAGGGGCTCACCACCCCCACAGGCAACTATTTCTTCTTCATCTCTTATCTAAATCTCCCCTCTTCCAGTTTGAAACCATCACCCCTCATCCCACTGCTCCCCCCCCCAATCAGGAGTCCCTCCCCAGCTCTCCTGGAGCCCCTTTAGGCACTGGAAGGGGCTCGAAGGTCTCCCCAGAGCCTTCTCCTCTCCAGGCTGAACACCCCCAAGACGCTGCTGTAAAGTCTCACCACGGGAAGGGTTTAAACCCCTGAACAGCACAGCTGATTTCTAACCCAGCCTTAGAAGAGAACGTGGTGTCCTGAGTGTCTGTCTGTCACATGTGGCAAAGAGACATTTCACAGCAAGCAAGACTCAAGAGTAAAATGGATCCACATAGAATGGAGCAGGTGGTGGCGTTTTAACATTTTTATGGAGAAACCTCTTAAAAATAAACAAAATCCCCAAACATTTAAATATTGTAAGACTGACTTAGGTTTGAAAAAGGGGATTAATTAGGAGCGGTTTAAATCACAACTTCATTCCCATTAGCTGAGCAGTAGCTTCCTGCAATAGGAGCGAAGCTGCAAGACTCAATTTATTCCTACGCACTTCCTTACCCTTTGAAAAAAAAAAAAAAAGCTGATATTCTGAGACATAATAAAACTTCAGAGAATGGAACAGCTTTTGATTTTTAATTAAAATAGTCTCAAAACTTCAGTGACAGAAGGTGCAACCCAAAGAAGCTGCACAACTAGTTACAGCTTCACAAGTGATACTATTAGCTCGTCTGCAATATCCTGCCTCAGAATTAATCAGATAGCGTTGATCTGGAATGAGACCTTGAGTTTTAGCTCCAATTCTACGCGAGAAAACTGATTTACAAAATGAGCCAACTTAGTTTAATGTTGACAAAAAAATAATTAAAAACAGCCAACCTCCTGCACCATATGGACTTCGATTCATTTTCACTCGTAGCTAAAGCCAGCATTTCACCCTTGCTCTTCGGCGATGAAAGGCTCATCCATTAACCTGCTCCAAAATCGTAGCCTCTAGCTCATAATGCTGTTATCTAGTTCAGGCAACACTCTCGTAAGATTTTTACAAGATCCCTCTTAACTGTACCGAAAATAATTAGTGGATCGGGAGCTCCTGGAATGAAGCTGAGCAGCCTGGAGACTCACCAATTTCTGGATTTCAAATGTTTCTGTAGTTTGCCAGAATCCTCTGTCATTAGGGCTTTCCACTTTGACCTCGAAGCCAGATGCCGTTGCTACCGTTGCACCCTCTGAAGCAAGAGCTAAAGCCTGTATCCTCTGATTGTGCTGGTAACGATGGACTGGCTCCCGCCCGAACATCAGGCTCCACACGCTGATGGTTCCTGTGTACACAAAAACCATAAACGCTACGCTTTACCTTCGAATTTAACAAAACTTTAAAAGATCATTTTAGGTGTAAGCTTAAAAGCATTCTAACGGAAAACATTAATATCCAGAAAAGAGACTGCAGGGCAGGAAACCAGACCTTCGGGACGCAGCACAGCACCACATAACAGGTTCAGAGGAAACTTTCCAAAATGCTGTGCTCGGGCATTAGAGGCTCTGTTGCCCTCTGTAAGTAATTCCTAATTTTTGACTTTCAGATAACATTGGTATCTCCCTTGAGGAGGACTGTTCGACTTCTCTCACATTTCCACCTCTGGAGAGGATCAGACAAACAGATACGTAAATTCTTCTTCTACTACATACTTGCCCTCAATTACCACAAAAAGTAGCGAGGAAGAACTCAGGCTCAAATTTAAGTCCCTCTGCTGCACACCGAAAAGTTTTAAAGCGAAGAATCTGAAGCTGTGCACACGCAGCGATCAGGTCAGGGATTTTCATACCACTCTCAACAGTTTACAACCAGCAGCAAAGCTCCTAATCCCGACACTCGGGGAAAAAACAGAGAATGAAGCAGAGTTCAAAATGCTAAAGAACACAAATCCCAAAGAATACAAGAGCGTAAGCCAAAAGACAATACATTTGCAATTGCATTTTTTCCCAGCATAGATCACCGATACTCTAGTTGAAAGCATGGTACATTAAAGCAATGATCTGAATAAGAGCAACCTGAAGCAATCGGGAGTGTATTACAGAACAGAAGGGCCAGACGGAATCGGAGACTTCTGGGCCACCTTTGCACTGAATTAAGGGAGAAGCAATCTTCAGACGTGATAGACAGGGCTGGAGAAGCCTTCCTTCTGCTTGAGCGTGGCCATTAATGATGAAATGATTAATGGTAGCTATTCCTTCAAAAGGAGACATAAAAGCTCTGACAGACAGCTGTGGAGGGGCACCAATGCCAGTTTGCAAACACTCCTCCCGCGTCCCAAAGGAGGTGAAGCAAGAGTGTGGTAATGAAACTGCACATAGTGAAATGGTATCTAAATGAGTTTAAATTGATTTATGTTCGCTTTTGTAAAGATTATTTGGTATCTGGAAAGTGCTACCAATGTGAAATAATGCAGATAATCCTTAAGATCCCTGTCTAATGGCACTCCCACTGAATATTTATATTCCTCGCCATGGGAATGAGTACCATAATGGGGACCATTTTTGTTTTATTAGGGATGCATATTTAAATTAATCTGCTATTTGCCTAAACAATTAGCCGCCTCTGTTTGTTTACACAAAGCCAAAACTGCAATTAGGCTTCCATCAAAAAGATAAGTCCCGACTAAAACTGTCCCGATGGAGTCATAAGGGCTCAGAGCAGAACTTCCCAAAATTACTTCTTAGCATAATGGTAATTATGTTAATTGCTTAAAAGGTAAATAACTGCTGAACTGGTTTTGAAAAACAGAACGCTAGCTCACAGCACACGCACTTACGCTTAAAACCAGTTAACAAATACAAATGGACAGCACAGGCTACAATTCCCTCCGCAGCCGGGTCTGCCCCACGCCAAGGCGCAGCAGCGGCAGTGTTTCTGTGCCTGCCCAGCGAGCCCTCGGCTCCAAACTAAAACAAAGGGAAGGGGTGAAGTCTCACCTCCGGACGGCTCATTTAAACAAGCAAACAAACAAACACCAACGATAAAAGATCGCAGCGATATCAGATCGCAGGTGTTAGAACCGGACTTTTTCATCAGACGAGGAATATTGCTGCCAAGCTCCTGCGGGCAGGAGTATTTTCAACGGGTTGGTTTTTTTTTTGCAGAACATTTATCCCAATTATAGACCACTTTTACAAAGGGGAAAAGGAAGCTGATTTGCTTTCAGTGAAGTCTTTTGTTTACACATCTTTGTGATGAGCATTTCACTGTTTTTAACGGAGTGTATTTAATGTAATAAAGTTCTGCAAAATAATACAAAAATATTCAAGTCAAACAACCTTCTTCTGACCACGCGAGCATACTGGGGAACCCAGAATTCACAGTTCTGCTTCCAAATTTGGGCAACAAAGCCCAAATTATTATAATTACTGCATCTCAAAAACCACAAATAGAGAAGACGGCGAAAACGGCCCACGCAATAGTACAATCAGCTCAAGACAGGTCCTTTTTTTTTTTTAACCAGATGTTCAATAGCAAAATCTCTTCAAAATATCTAAAAATTTTATCAGGCATATACAGCGTGTGCAACACCTGATGCACGATACAGTGGTGAAAACCTCCCTGGTAATATCAAAACCACAAGTGACTTGTAAGGCCACAAGTTAACATCTGTTCAATGAAGCACAACATGAGGAGTAAAAAGGAGAGTTGAAAAGGAACATAAAGAGCAAGAAAAACACTATTTTCTTTCATTAGGACGAACCACAATTTGCTGGCAAAAGGATGGCTCATCCCCCTTGCTTCTCCCTTCCTCCAAAAGAGTGGACAATTCCGGGTGTACATCCTCCATCATCGGAAGCTTCAATCGCTGCGTGCACAGACCTTCTGTGGAACTGCACTATTGTCAAAACAGGTCTACGCATTCACGCGTGACAGCAGGAAAACATTATCAAGTTTTACATCGAAAAAGCAAACATGCCGCTGTATTTATCAATAGGTAAAGCTTCTAGTAGGTCTGAAAGCTCTACTCAGAGTATTCTGTATTCTATTGCAGAAACACCAAAATGTATTTATTAGCGGGCAAGCCTTTGCAACAGTCAATCATGTTTGTGTAAGAGCAAAAAAAAAAAAAGCCACTATTACAGTTAAAGTTATTTGTACGGCAACATAAAAAAAAATTAGGCGTAAGATTTACCAGTGCAGATGAGATCACTACTTTCCACAGTCTATCTTCCTGCCTCCAGCAGTGCCCAATACTTCATTTCCAAAGCGGTATCTTTGGTAAGGTCAAGTTAAGGTTGCAAGCATACAGTATCTTTTTTTTTTCTTTTTTTTTTTTTAAATACTGTAATCTTAAAAGTGTTAGAAAGTCATTAAATCAAAATTATAAGCAATACTTTCACAGCATGCCAAAATCTGCCCCACAATTGAGATTATTCCAATTGAACTCTAACAATAACTCCTCAAATCGATTTAGGCTTTAGAGCTTGCTTGTGTTTGATCTTGGCTCAAGGAGAAGAATTAAGTGCAAGAAGTTGATGAAGACGGCATAATTGCAGACACTTGACATTACAGTCATTGTACCAGTCTTCTTGTTTATCACTTCGGCCCACATTGTACAAAGAATTTCAGTTTTTAATTTCTAATCCAATATATTTCTGAAATGCGGCCTGATGGCAGGTCCGTTTATTGCGATTCCCTCTGGACTGGAAGGGATTTGGATAAAACATTTAACTATGAGACTATTGTGCCTTACACAGTGCACTGCTGATCCTGACCGTACTCCGGTTTTCGTAGGCATCAGCCAGTCTGACGCACCTCTTGCTATATCGAAGGTGAATGGCTGGAAGCTGCTCTCCATTAAGAGTGCCCATCTCTAGTACATCCCGCTCTTCGCAGCTGGGAGCACAAAAGACATCCTGCAAAAGCAACTGGTTTTTACATCTGTTTTCACATAGGTTTCTCTCTGGTATAAAAGGCAACACTTTTGCCAGAAAAAAAAAAGTATCTCTTTTCCTATGAAATACTGTCATCCTGCAAGAGGGAAAGGCAGCATAAACACAGGGCAAAAATTGTTAAATCACATTTGTAAATATTATAGTGGCTGCGTTTGCTAACGTAATACCGCGTGTCAGAGCTCCTTCTAAGAGCTGGCCGCAGCGGAGGGCAGCTGCCCGCCAGTGCTCCCTGCTAACAGCGAACCCTTGGGCTACGCCGAGGGAGGGCCGCGTTTCGGTGCAGAAGATCCTACGCTCAGATCCTAATGACCCATTACATCAGCTCTTCCATGTTTAAGACGGTATGACTAGCAGTTGCTGCCAGCTTTAGAGAAGACACAGAGCAATCTACGTGGGCATTATCTGCCAAAAAAAAAGCAAAGACAGAATTTTGTATATGCTAGAGCAGGGAATCATAGAGTGGTTTGGGTTGGAAAAGACCTTAAAGCTCATCTCCTTCCAAACCCCCTGCCCCGGGCACGGCCACCTCCCCCCAGCCCAGGTTGCTCCGAGCCCCGTCCAACCTGGCCTTGAACACCTCCAGGGATGGGGCAGCCACAGCTTCTCGGGGCAACCTGCCCCAGGGG